TTACCCAACTAGTTGCTCTCTGGATGTTTCAGTTGACAACTCCTATCATCCCTGATCATTGGCCATATTGGTGAGGGCTGATGGGAACTGAAGTGCATGACATCTGGAGGGTACCAATTTGGGGAAGGCTGTACTAGGGAGTCACTGGCTCTTCCTTTTCTTATTAAATTATTGTATTTATACCTTTCTCTTCCTCCTCCTGTGCAGAGAGATTATGTCTCCTTAGACTTATAATAACAAAAATATTCATATTTATTATGGTAGGATATGACATGCCAAAAACATTATGGGAAAAGATGGGTATTGTTTTGAAGGGGAACAGTGCACACATCCTGCTATTCCCACTGATAAACAGATTTGCTCAACATGGTGGCTAATTACTTCTATATTGGCGGGGGGGGGGCGGCGGCGGCGGCGGCGGTGAATATGTTCTGGGTTCTAGTCTGAACTTTAAAGGAGTTATCCAATGTCCTGAAGCTCCTCGTAGGTTCAGTACCTTGGACTGCTCTTTTAAAGTTTGCTCAGGGACCTGTTTGCTCATAGTGTGCACTTGTGAGCATTTGCATCTGTGTGCATGTGCCTTCAGGTTGTGTGTCACTTTATAGCCACCCAATGAATTTCAGACAGTTTTCTTAGGCAAGGAATGATCAGAGGTGGTTTGCTATTTCCTGCCTCTGTAATATAGAGTGCAGCACCAGGTAGTCTTTGGCAATCTCCCATCCAGGTTCTAACCAGGCCCGGCCCTGCTAAGCTTCCAAGTTCAGACAAAATATGGTGTCTTCAGGATATTTAGGCCCTCCTTCCTCACAGAAAACTATGGAACAAAAGACAAATGTATGTGTACACCAATGCATTTCAGATCTCCAAAAACTATTATTTGTCTCACACTTTGCTTTCAACAAAAAATATTTGTGAGAGTTGACCAAACAAATCCTTTCTGGCTCAGCTTTGCTTACACTAGCTAACAGTGGCTGTTCAGGATTTTGGACAAGAGCCTTTCTCTTCTCTTCCTGGAGATTTCAGAGACTGAACATGGGATATTTTGTTGACAACTCGTATGCTATACCACCGAGTTGCAAACAAACACTCCCTGAAGAAACACAGCAGGAAGAAGGCTGGGATAGATTCTTGCTCCCGGCTTTAGTAGATTTGTGTTTCTAAAATATATAGTTGGGGGTATTTGCATGAGAGGCATTTGAATTTGGCATCCCAGCCTTCATAGTGGGGTGTCACACACTAGCTTCAGCATGTTGTTATTTTATTCAGTTGCATGTGTATGCCAAGCCTCAGTTTGGAACAATGAAAGGAGTCTGCTAATGTGGTCAGGGAAAAGCAGCTGCTCCTTGACCAAGTGTAAGCAAGTATGGTGGGTCTGAAAGGACTTTTTCAAAATGTGGTGGTGGCTGCCTGCCACTATCAAGCTCTGCTTCCCACTCAGTCCTTTAAAAAAAAAAAACAACAAAACTGGAGATGAATGGTGAAGCAACATGTAGGTAAAGCCAATTGATTAAGAAGATTACTACACATGGCTTTTAAATTGCAATTACTGTCGGAAAATAGAGCCTTTGGTGATACATCAAGGTGACCAGATGCCATAGCCACAAAGGAGGACAGAGCACCACAAAATGTAGGCCATTCAAGGAAGATGTAGGATATTACAAAATGAAAGCTTAAAAAGCTAATATAAACATAAATTCATTTCGTATAATGTATTTACAGCTACACTATATGTATATACCATATTTTATTATGTACACAACAGTAATTTTCTGATGAATTTATCTTCATTAAAATGCCTTGTCAGCTTTCAGTATACTTATAGAACTCTGAGGAAGACAAATGCTTAAAATTGTACTTTACTATTCTTTTCATTTGTCCATTGGGCTGAAATTAAAGAAAAAAAAAAACCCTTTCAACAGTTGCACCATGTTCTCAAGCAGCCCATTGCCTAACATGTTTGCTGTCCCTTTCCCCTTCAAGAAACAAATGGGCTCCAGCTCATGAAAAAAAAAACTTTAAAAGGATCTATCCTTTGCCCCTGTTTGCAGCAAGGTCAGGCGGCAAATATGTTGCCCTTCAAGACATATTTCTCAAAGGGGAACAGCAAACATGGTGTAGATTCCTGCCCTTCCCAGTAGGCTCAGGCACAAGCAAATTTCTGCAGCCTCTCCTAGCTTGTGTGTTTTTTCTCATTAACACCTTTCCCCTCTTGACCAATTTTCATCTGTAAAATGTTGGAGGCTATGCCCTGGCCTTGGCATCACTGGCATGTGACTCCTTGCATTACTCCCCAAATCACGCGTCCAATCACCAGAGCAAATTTTAATTTTTAAAGGATTCTTTTTTTGAAAGCAACAAACAAATGAACAAAAATGGCCTATTATTAGAATCAAATTGTTTCATTGGAATTCAGAAGGTTCTCTACATACATAGTAAACTGCCTCCCTCTTTTCAAGTGATCCACATTCAAGCCACTGGTGGCTAGACCTAGGGAACTCTTCTCCTCTTGGTAATCATCCATGCAGATGATTGTGGTCATGCTAGAAATGATAGTACAGTGGGCCCTTGGTATCTGCTGGGCTTTGGTTCCAGGACCCCTGTGGATAACAAAATTTGTAGCTGCTCAAGTCCTGTTAAATACTATGGTATAGCAAAATGGTACCTCTTATATAAAATGGAAAAATCAAGATTTGCTATTTGGAATTTATACTTTTTAAAAAATATTTTCAACCCATGGATGCTTGAATTTATGGATTCAAAAGTCCATGAATAAGGAGGACTGACTGTACCTTTCCTTTCCAGTTTTCAGGGCCATCCAGTATTCTTCTAATCCCTGGCCACACCTCCATTTCCCCACAGGAGGACAGGATTACTATGCAAAAGTTAATTTTATGCAAGTAAGTTATCTATTGAATTACCACTCCCAGAATCCCCAATCAACATGTCTAGTGCAAAAAGTTGCTAAGGGCCATGTTAATTTGGGTTGAGATCTTATATCTAGTGCGCGTAACATAATGGTCTTCCCATGCAGTTCTGTTTTCTCCCCATCACCCTGCTAGCTGTCAAACCCTTGGAAGAGTTAGTGTAACTACTCCTTACCAGTGGTGAGGGGGGAGTTGATATTGTTGTTATTATGTGCCTCCAAGTCATTTTTGACTTATGGTTACCCTAAGGTGAACCTCCCATGGGGTTTTCTTTGCTAGTTTTTCAGAGGTGGGGGGGTTGCCATTGCCATCTTCTGGGGCTGAGAGAGTGTGACTTGCTCAAGGTCACACAGTGGGTTTTCATACTCAAGTGAGGATTTGAATCATAGTCTCCAGAGTCAAACCACTACACCATACTGGGGAATGGAGGGTGTTCAAAGGAAGAAGATGCAGCTGATCTGGGCTTTTAGAAGGAAGAAATGAGAGTGTCCTCCCAAATGGTGTGCAATGTCTTTTTTCTTCCCTTCTTCTAATAGAGGGGAATATATTTCCTACTGCTAAGGAAGATCAGTAGTATCTCCTTCCTATCCACCCTTTGCACCCTATCCAAACAAAGACATGTGTGTGTGTGTGTGTGTGTGTAACCCACACTTACACACATGCAAACCATCAACAGGTTTCTGCCCTTTGACTGCAATGGCTTCTCAAGATTCTGGGTGTTATTGTCCCAAAAATAACCTTCCTCCACTCCAACTATGAGAAATACTTATTTATAAAAGTGTAATTCTATGGTTCCTGGGGCCATGAGGAAGAGATATGCTCCTTCTTGGTGGGGGGTAGAGACACAGTTCTGACCTCAGAGAGGGAAATCCAACCAAGCATTCCCCTTCGATGTCCCTGGGGAAACCTCTTTGGCCTTTATCTTTGTGACAATGGAGTTCCAACAATAGGAGAAGGGGTAAAGGGCAAGAACTGGGAGCATGTAACGCACAATTTACTTTTTATTTGTTAGACTGGAGCCTATTCTTACTTGTCTAAGAAAGAAAGAAAGAAAGAAAGAAAGAAAGAAAGAAAGAAAGAAAGAAAGAGTTCTACAAATATTTTCCAAGCAAGTCATCACATCAATGGGAGGGAAGTCCAGACCCAAAGATAACATTGCTGTTGTTGTTACTGTTTCTCTATTATCTTGTTGAGAGCAAATTTGAAGAAAAACAAGGTGCTTATTTGTAGGAGATGTTGTGTTTGCTGCAATTAGATCTCGAGTTTCTGAGAACTCCATGCTCCAGTGCGGAGGCCCATCCAGCTTTCCCAGGGAATCATACTGCGTAGGCTTGAAGGAGCTACAGAAAGTTAGGGGGTTTTTTTGTTGTCATTGTTACAGTTCATGCAGTGCCTGTTAGATAAACAAGAACCAAGGACATTATTTATGAGTTGAGGCTTTGTAGAGCAGTAGAAAAATGAATTGGATTCCAGGGAGGGAATGCTCAATTTAGGGGAGTGGGTATTCTTGCCTCCCTCCTGAACTCCAGGGTTGATATGACTCATGAACTCCAAGGCCACTAGAAAACACTACAGGAAGAACATTCAGCCAGTTGTAAATGATTTCTCAGAAATGTGTATGACACATACCAGGTGATTATTGTGCAGCAGCAAAATCAGTTATTTAATGTTGTCACCTGTGGTTCTTTCACTTTTTGCTGCCTTACATGGGACAGCATACAACTTCAGGAAAATATTGTTGGTTGTGGCATGCTTTACCTAGGATGAATCTCATGTGGAGCTGTGTGACAAGCTGTCATACAAAATGTGACATCCTGTTAGTGGCATATGTAGGCATAGATTTTCCATCCTTCCCTCTGAAGTTTGATATTACGTTCCTCCCTCTGCAGCACTCAAAGGCTTCCTTTGGGCTTAACCCCTGACCCTGCATGGCCATTCTGTGCCTCATGGGGAGCTGGCAGGATTCAAAAAGCATCTAACTACATTCCCCCCAACACACACACACAACCAGAGGACAATGATAGCAGCTGGGCAGAGAAATCTGGAGGATTTCACTGCTGTAGAATCATTTTATGAGCCAGCGTGGCATAATGGTTTTAGTATTAAACTACAACTCTGGAGACCAGGATTCAATTCCCTGCTCAACCATGAAACCTACTGGGTGACCTAGAACAAGTTACAGAATCTCAGCCTAAGGGGAAGGTAATGACAAACTCCCTTGGCCAAACTTGCCAAGAAAACCCCACGATAGGGTCACCATACATCAGAAACGACTTGAAGGTATACAGCAACAACAACAAACAGGGATATAGACGTACATTTCTCCAATCCTGCCTGTTCCTCATGAGACATGAAATAGTCATGAGAAGAGGCTTCAGAGGTTATATGGTAAGTCTGAGGGGGTGGTATATAGCTCAGAAGAATTGTGAAACTCCTAAACAATGCTGAACCATATTGGATTGCATCCATTGTTTCTTCTGCATGCTGAGGTTTTAAATAGTTGTCAGTGCATTGGTCACATACATGCCTTGCATAAGGCTTCAGAAGTTTCTATCAACATCAGGACAGTAGTGGGAACAAGGAAAGACAACATTGCAGCACTTAGAAAGCTCCCAGAGGGTAACCTGTCGTAACAGTATGAAGCTCAACAAAAGACTTTTATTGTTCTTGGACCAGTCTATCCTTTGTTGGCTCAACAACTTTCCCACAAATTGGGAAGGCAGGGATGGAGAAAGTGCAGGTTGTGTACCATGTACAACACCCAAGTCCATTTTTGAAGGTCCCCCTTCCCCAAATGTTGCAAAGTTTGGGGGTTCAATTCCCTCCCAAATGGTCACTAGCTCCCCAAACCACCAGATGGGGTGCAATTCCTATTTTGTTGAATTTTATCCATTCCCTCCTCATGTTTTTGAGGCTACTGTGGCCTTTTTTCCCAAACAGAAAAAAATCTCCATACAGGCCCAAAACAGTAGAGGGGACTGCAAAAATGCCCCCCATGCAGCAAAATTTCCAGTTGAAGAAGTGCTGTTGGCCATTTGGGAGGTGAAAATAGACCACAACATTGTGAGAGCTGACAAGAGCAGTAGTCAAATGCCATGAAAGCCCAGCAGGCTATAGAATAAATGGAATCCAAGATCTTGAAGAAAACAAAGTTTCTACCATGGCTGGCACCTATTCTCAACCCTAACAGCACAAATGCTCCATTTACACTGCCGAATTAATGCAGTTTGACACTGTTACAACTGCCATGGCTCTATGCTAAGGATTTCTAGGATTTGTAGTTTTGTGAGATATTTAGCCTTTTCTGTCAGAGACCTCTGGTGCCACAATGAACTATAAATCTTAGGATTCCATAGGATGGAGCCATGACAGTTAAAACAGAGTCAAACTTCATTAATAATGCAGTGTGGCAGCTATCAAAGATAACACTAGATACTACAGAACCCATAACCAAAGAAATTGTGACACAGCACTGACAGCATTAATGGAGGGAAAAATCCTCTGAATAATTCAAGCAAGGGGAGACAAGCCATATATGGCATGGGAATAAAATAAAGCCAGGTTGACCATCAGTTTCATTGTGTGTAGGGGGATATGTCTCACTGAACCACAAATATTATATTGTGTATGAGAATAGGTGAGGTAGGATTAGGAGGAGTAAGGTTGAGTCACTGAATGAAAGGCTGGCTTAATGTGTTTAAGATTCAAGAGTGTGAAGAAATGGCTTGTCATTGTTGTTTGTTGTGTGCCCTCAAGTAGTTTCTGACTTATGGTAACCCTATCATGGAGTTTTCTTGATAAGTTTTCTTGATAAGTTTCTGCAGATGGGGGTTTTCCATTGCCATCCTCCATGATGGAGAGATTGTGACTTGCCCAAGGTCACCCAGTGAGTTTCAGTGGCCCAGCTAGGATTTGAATCCTGGTCTCCAGAGTCCTAGTCCAATGCTCAAACCTCTACACCAAAGAATGGTTTACCATGTGTAAATCACCAGAGCTTTTAGATGACAGTTTCTAAAATCTTCCAGCCAGTGTGCCTGCTGGAAGATTTTGGAAGCTACCCCAAGTCAAGTGACTTCCAGAGAGTATTGAAAAAATTATGTATACCATAGACTCATAGAATCAAAGAGACCTCAAGAGCCATGAAGTCCAACCCCCTGACATGCAGGAACACACAATGAAAGCACTCCTGACCAAGGGCCATCTGACCCCTGTTTAAAAATCTCCAAAGAAAGATAGAGTCTATGAAGAAGTACAGGAAGAAATTGAAAGCACACCAACACAGGATGTCAAGCTGAAAATTGGAGATTGGAACACAAAAGTTGGAAGCAAAGAAGAATCAAAAACAGCAGGCAGATTTGGATTAGGCAAAAGAAACAAAGCAGGTGAGCGTCTGATAAATTTTTGTGAAACCAACAACTTATTCATTGCAAACACATTTTTCATACAACTATAAAGAAGGCTACTCACCAGATGGTCAACACAAAAATCAAATAGATTATATAATCAGAAGTAAAAGATGGCAGAACTCTATACTGGCAGACAAAACTAGACCAGGCACTAACTGTGGCAAAAATCATGAATTACTCATAACAAAATAAGAGTAAGACTCAAGAAGAAAACAAAACCAGTGATTATACCAAAATATGATCTAAATAATATCTTGACAGAATTTACTGATAACATAAGAAACAAATTCACACTACTAAGTATAATAGACCAAGAACCAGAGGAACTATGGTCTGAAGCCAAGGACATAATAAAAGAAGAATGCAGACAGACACTTTAAATAAACAAAAAGAAAGAGCAAAAACCATGGATGACAGAAAAAACACCACAAACAATAAAGAGAAGAAGAGAAGAAAAACAAAAGAGATTTAGGAACAAACTAAGAATTATGAATGCAACAGTACAACAGCTTGTGTGGAAAGATAAAGAAAATTACTACAACAATCAATGGAGAGAAATAGAAGACAAAAAAAGGGAAGAACAAGAGATCTGATCCGGGAAATCAAAGGAAAATTCAAACCAAGGACTGGGACACTCTATGACAATAAAAATAACATAATTCAAGACCAGGAAGGAATAAAAAGATGTTGGATGCAATATGCAAAAGAATTATACAAAAGAGATGACAAAATGAAGGACACATGGAATGAAGAACCATGTGAAGATGAACCCCAAGTCTTAAAAAGTGAAGTGGAAACTGCAATAAATAGCGAAAAACAAATCACCAGAAACAAATGATATTCCAATTGGACTGCTGCAGTCCATACTAACAGAGTCAACTCTAGTACTAACTAACATATGTCAACAGATATGGAATACAAAATGATGGCCAACAAATTGGAAGCGGTCAATATATATCTCCATCCACAAAAAGGGAGACACAAGTGACTGCAGAAACTATAGGACCATAGCACTGATCTCCCATGCAAGCAAAATCATGCTCAAAAGTCTGCACCATGGACTCCAACCATACATGGAAAGAGATCACAGAGGTGCAAGCAGGGTTCAGGAAAGGAAGAGGCACTAAGGACCACATTGCAAACATACGATGGCTAGTGGTGCGCACCCAGGAATTCCAAAAGAAAATCAGCATGCATTTTATAGATTACAGCAAAGCCTTTGATTGCATAGATCATGAAAGGCTATGGAACACCCTTAAAGACATGGGAGTGCCAATACATCTGATAGTCCTGATGAGGAATCTGTATTCAGGACAAGAAGCTACTGTCAGAACAGAACACGGAGAAACAGAATGGTTCCCAATTGGCAAAGGGGTCAGATAAAGCTACATCCTTTCACCCTATCTGTTCAACTTGTATGCAGTACATATAATAAGAAAAGCAGTCTTGGACACAAAAGAAGGAGTGAAATTAGGAGGAAGGAATATCAACAATCTAAGATATGCAGATGACATCATAATACTAGCAGAAAACCTCACAGACCTGGAACACCTACTAAGGAAGATCAAAGAAAGTGCAAAGGAGGCGTAATGCTGAAGATAAAGAAAACAAAAATAATGACCACCGAGGACCTTCACAA